CGCTTCGTCATCTCAACAGGTGCTTGTAGAAAGTCGACAAGCTGTTGTACGCCCTCCCACTCCTCGCTGGAGATCTCGTCGTTAATTGGGTTGTACTCGTCGTTGTAGCCTTGCGAAGCTTGTTGTTGTAGTCTCGTCATAAAGCGAGTAATCGGGTTACGAAGCTCCAGGCAACGGAGGAGCATGTAGTACACTGAGTGCCAGCGGACGCCTCCATCTTGACGTAATTGAATATATGGAGTTATTACTAATAACTCCATATATTCAAAAAGATGGACTTGTAGAGCGACCACAAATCGTAATTGAATTGCGCAAAGCCGGATTTATACTACATATAAGCCTACGAAAGTTTTAGCTTATTCAAATAATATTCTGGAGGGCTTAATTGTGCGTGAACGGCGACTACGCGCTGGGGTAGCTGGTGCAACCTCCGTGCCTCCCACCACAGCTGTATGAACCCCAACACGTTTCTGACGCTTTGTAGCTGGCTTATGAGCTTTTGAAGCTTTGCGGAGCATCCTCTGGCGGTCTCTTTCTGCTTTCTCTGCAGCCTTCCGCTTTCTGGTCTCCTCCCAACCCTTCTCCCGCTCAACACGCTTCGCTTGTTGTAGTTGACGATTGCAGAGACGAGCTGCCTTCTTGATCTCGGCTTGCTCGGCTTTTTGAAGCTTTTCAAGCTCGGCTTGTTGTTGTTGTGATACCTTATCATCCCGAGCTTGTTTCAAGCTTTTGTGTGACCACCAAACAGCTCCCCCATGATACTCAGGATGATCCTCAAGCTGTAGGGTACAGGGTTGGGTTTCCCGCCTCTTCTTAATGGCTAGGAAGTTTCTGAGACCCCTAACCTCACCGCGGAGGAGTGTATTTTGAGCTGCAATGTGGTGCAAACTTCGTTGAAGCTTCTTAACGTCCTTGCTGCTCTGATCCTTCATCTCACGGCGTACAATTGACTTAAGCTTGAGCCAGTCCTCCCTGGGGAGTACAAAGGTTGAGCTGCCTTCTGAATCTGATGCCTCCTTGGCAAATTTCTTGAGTACAACCTCTGGGTTAGGTGGGTGTTGTTACGAGTAACAGCCACGGGCTTCATCATTGGACACAGCGAGACAGGAACTGTATCGCTAGGCGCCAGGCCGCCCGAGGGAAGGCCAATTCACGTGACTGATAGTTACGCCAAGGACTATCGCTAGCCCTGCGCGCGACTATCACCACTACCGATAGTCACGCTCGCGGCTATCATAACTATCACCCTCAGTATATAGCATTAGGCACTGAACCCTTATGGCTCAGTGTGTTCAACTTCGTACAAGACTCTAGTATTCAATCTAAGGATTATACTTCGTTCTCATACAACCCCTCGTGATATTACATCGATCTACCAATCGTGCTATCACACCAACCCCGTCCATCGCACCCGCTCAATCCCCGAGAACCAACTCTTAGGTCATCTAAGGATAACCTTCACAGGTGTATACCAGTTGCTTCAAAGGGCCTCTTGATGAGGAGAGGGTTGAAAACCTTGCTCCAAGACCTTCAGAAGAGCGGGAAGAAGTCTCCTTTGGCTATATTGAGTATCCCTTGGCTGTCTTGAAGGTATTGAGCCAACTCAGTTGAGTAAGCGTTCGCTAGAGGTTCAAACATCACAACGTCAAGCGGTTGAAGCGTATGGGTAGCGTGAGGTGGGTATACAGCTAATAGGATCTTATGGTCGTTGCAGTAATTGATGAAGTCCATGGTAATATGGGATCCATGGCCGTCAAGGAGTAGTAATCGATACCCGGTTGAAGCATGCCGTCTAGTTTCTCTCTCAAACACCCCCTTGAGCCAAGCCAACCCAATATCATTGTTGCTCCAGCCAGAGGGTGATGACGTAGTAAAGACTGAGTGCTCTCCAGCTTGCATAGCGTCAAGCTAGCTTGATTGAACAGCTCCGTTGGCTCCCTTGAAGGTGAATGTAGGACTCAAAGCTTTGCCATCCGAACAAATACAAGCCACCACTGTTATCCATTTACTTGAGCCATCTTCAAGAGCTTGCCGTACCCCCTTTTGATCCCAAAGAGCCTTAGAGAAGATACGCTTTGTTCTGCCAATCCTTCCAAGTTGAAACCCCTTTTCGTCCATATTAAATATATGGGTGGGCGAGATGTTGTACTCCTCCATCTTTTCAACTAGAAGCTTGAAATACAAGCTGTACTTGGCTCTTGAATCGGCGTTGCAACGAAGTTTGCTCATCCCCTTGCTGTAGGCAGAGATAAGCTGGTTCGGGTGATGGTGGAGGAACCGGGAAACCCAGGTTTCTGAAACTGCTTTTCCAGCCAAATATGAAGCAAAGCGTTGTATCATTGCCCTCGTAGGTGGCAAACGTCGTTCATTAAGCGTCTAGCAGTAGCTTCTAAGCTCGATTTCATGTTGTGGTTGTAGGGATCGATGGGGAGCCTGCACTGCCCAGCTACGCCTTGGTGTCTTCTAGCGAGCGTACGTCGGTCAACATTATATCTTCGTGCGACTTCAGTGTACGCCAAATCATCTCCTGGTTCGCGCGATTTGATTTCTGCAATCTCTTCTTGAATCGGATCCATATTGGTGAAGTTGTGACGCGTTGAAGTTTTGCTGTTATGGTGTTGGGGTGGGGCGTTGACTGACCCGGGGCGTTGATTGACCCGCTATTGTAACATGGTTGGCAAGCGAGCGGCGCAGGCAAGCGAGCGGCGCACCCCACCAACTTTCTGCGCCTGTTCAAGCGCACATCACAACCACGTCAAGAGATAATATATACAAATTTACATAGCAGATTAAGTAGTATCTAAAGGATTGTTTTTGCAAGTACGTGAGTTGTGACCAGTCTCTCTGCACCTCCTGCATCGCGCGAGAGCCTGGCGGCCAAGGCCTGATCGCTCACCACCTTGACGCTGTTCACGCTCAATCTGCAGGTCAGCCTCCTTTTGAGCTATTATATCCTCTCCCTCTCCCTTTGTTAAGGTCCCACGCTTCTGTATCCGCTTCTTTTTGCGCTGCCTACGCTTGCTCGCTGCTTCGTTGGCTCTCTCAAGGCTGGCGATCCGATCGCGCATCAGCTCAGCTGAGAGCATCATCACCTTAGCGCCCTTTTTGAGCTGGTCGATCGCTTTAATAATCGAAGCTGGTGACGAGCTCTTATGCCGGCGTACGCGCTCACGTATTAGAGTTGATTGAGCATCAAGCTCACGTACGTTGCTCGGCGTACGAGCCTCCCAGACAGCCTCTGGCAGGGTAGCTGGAGAAGGCGTATGTAGCTGAACATTAAGCTTTGATAGAACGGTATCTGGCTAGAGAGGTACAAGGCCTGCGCCTCGAAAGGCTGAGCAGATATTGGCTGAGTTGAACGATCGATTGAACGCTACCTTGAAGGCAGGCAGGAACTCAAGCTTGGTGATGTAGTTAATATGGTGGCGGATCAGGCTCTCAACCTCACGGCTGTACGCGCGCTTCAATAGCGAGAAGCAGCCAACGTTAAGAGGCTGCAGCAGGTGAGATGAGTGAGGTAGCATACAGAGCGTATAGATGTTGTTCTCCTTGCAGAGCTCTTGAAACGCAAGAGAGTGGTGGCTCTCATGGCCATCAAGGACGAGCAGGCGACGCGCACCAATAACGCGAGTCTTCGTGTGAGCGTTAAAGTGCTTTAGCTACTCTACTCCTAGCTTATTATTCGTCCAGCCGTTGTCACTAACTGCGATCGCCCAGTCGCGTGGGATATCCTTCTCCTCGTACCAGGCAGACAGGTGATACTAGCCAGCGAAGATGAGGAACGGTGGGACTGCCCAGCCAGCAGCGTTGATTCCCTAGATTACTGTGACCCATTCGCGATTGCCAGGCTGGATAGCCTTTAGCCGGCCTCTTCTCTCTGACCCTGTTACGACGAGCTGGGTCGTAATCTTGCTCATCATAAAGCCAGCCTCATCAAAGTTGTAGACGTCATCATCACAGATGCCGTACTTGGCCTTTGTCTGCTCTACTAGATCGAACCAGCTCTTAATCAGCACCGGATCCTCACACAGAGCTCTCTGCCTATCGTACGCTCGGTTGAAACACGTCGTGAGACTGCCTGTACGCTTGACAAAGTTGGCTGGCCACTTCTGTCCAACCTGGCCTGTGCCGCGCGCAGCGAGCAGCTTATCAGCCATATCACGTATAGCTGCGTACGTAGGTGCAAATCCACGTAGATCCAGATCAAGTATATAGCTAACAAACACCTGCTCCTCTAGCTAGGGTGCGCCGCTCGCTTGCCTGCGCCGCTCGCTTGCCAACCATGTTAATTCATACTCTATGAATACCCTTCCTTTTTGTGCCGCATAAACAGCACTAGATCACACTTGGTGCATACAAAATAATGCACTTTTCTTCTCTTTAATGCACAAGCTAAAGATTTTGCAATCCCACACATATTCGATAGACACGAAGCGTGCGATGGTGTGCTGCACAAGCAGTGCAGGCATCTATCTATCTATATGCAGAGTGCAGTTCGTTGATAGTCAGTTCTTTTACGATGGCTACAGCCCTACTTGCTTCAGCACTCGTTCTACTGAGCTAACGTAGCTCATGTGGTGCAGTGCAGCACATTTCTTGTTTCTTCGAGTACCATACGAGGTTTCTCACCGCTGCTGTCGTGTAACACAATCTTACTTCCACAATCTAGTCTAAATCGCCTCTAACATATACTCCGCAGCACGAAAAAAAAGCAATACAATTCCAGGCATAGGGTTGCTCCGAAGAGAGGTGCCCATTTGCAGTTCTCCTACAGACGATTTCCAAACAGCAACTAGGCAGTAGATAGGTGCATATCGAAGTATGTTAATGTAATCTTTGGAATTCTAGGTGTACTTAAAGAACAAAGACGAAGTGTAAAGTATTTAGCGTTTCCTATCGATTGTCAGTCACCAATCTACACTTAATCATCTCTGCCTTCAAACACGATTCTCCAGGCATTTAAGAACTTCTTCGATACTTTGCATAATACCGCAGCCGAAATGACGAACAAAACCCGCGACTATGGTGATTTGAGAGTCACGCTTACCAAGGACCTCGTCTGGAAGTGGAATGAGAAGGATACAGGTGCTGCCCGGTATGGAGAGTTCTATCTTGCGAACCCCCAAGGTGCAATGCGTCCTGTGGGATCTTTTGGTCAAGACAAATGGGATGATCAGAAAGATAAGAGGGCTACGCTCTTAGTTGGAAACGTTCCTGGGAGATCTGGGAAGCCAGCTGTTGCAAGCCCTACTAGTTACGACTGGGTGTGGGACGACCGGGGCGGCGGCGGCAAGTATGATGGCACAGTCTGGCGACCTGTTGCGCCTTCTGGGTATGTCTCGCTGGGGGACGTTTGGACAAGCAGCTACGAACGTCCATCAATCAATGCGATATGGTGTGTCCGATCGGACTTGACGATGCAATCGCACTACAACCCGAACAGCCTCTGGGACGACACAAAATCCGGAGGTGATCACGACTGTTCAGTATGGTCAATCATTGCCCCCCAGGTTAGCATAAGCGGATCTGAGAAGATTGCAGTCCTTTCCGATTGTCACAGGGCTATCAAAGCATATCGACAACCTTCCTCGGATCTTGCCAGGGTTCTGGTACTTCCTTGTTCAAAAGACTTCAAACCTTTTAATGCAAGACCGCCAAAGTTCACCAAGGACACAATCCCTCGCGAAGGAGACCTGTCTAGCGAGCTGCATCAGTGTGAGGTTGAATTACCTTTCGCGGCCTTTTTTCCACCAACACATGTCACCAGCCTGGGCCTGATTTCTGATCCTTTTTGCAAGCTTGGGAGACGAACTGCATGGTTGGTTGAAAAACGACACTCGAATAACGGTGGAGGTACTATCATTGATGAGAAGACAATTAAGAAAGGTATCTCTAAGTCGGAGTCGGAAGAAATGAAGCACTCGGCCGGTGTAGAAATTACTGCATCCTTTGGTATCAAGGCTATAGGTGGAGGCGTAGACGTCAGTCTCAATTATCAGTTCACCTCGACACAATCCTCTTAGTATACCGAGTACGAGGAGTTTACCGACAGACGACAATACAACGTTCCGCCCTACACCTGTTCGATATTTCTTACTGAACGTGTTTGGCTCGTAGCTGCTCGCACCGACGGCTCTTTCACTCTATCAGAGATCCAATACAACACTACCGACGGTATGAACATCGAAGAAGTCAAGCTGAACTAAATTAAGTTCGCAGCTGTTATGTTCCAGTTGTGCTTGCCGCTCATCATCATGTACCAGTCCCATTGTTCACTCGTTTAGAATTTACACGTCCTGCTTCGGTCGCCCATCATCATGTATTAGCTATCCAACTCACCCATTCAGAATGTACACATCCCACTTTTGTTTTGAATTTTGGCTGCAATGATACTAAAGTATCGCCGATGAAGAAACTCTTGATGGTTGGGACTAAGAAATGATCAACACGTCTCAAAAGCAACGTAATTGTTGCAGCGCAACAGGACACTTTTCTCTTCTTCTTCTCGCTACTCAAGTATTGTGGCACGGAATACCCCCTATTCCAAAACCAAACCCTTTCGGGAAATTGCGATCGCCGCTCTAGCCAACCCCCTCGAAAACCACTTCACGACTGCATCTCGACGCCGTGCAGCATCTCCTGCCAGCGCTTTCTCGCATGCGCTGCTATACCATCTTGTTCTTCGCTCTTTTGTTTGTTGTTCTGTTCTTGATGCAAGGGAATCAATACAGCAATGCCTGACAAGGATCATCGTCCCGAAAACGTCAGAGAACATTTCGCAAGACATGGGCTCTTCGTGAACGAGCCCGAGCCAGTTATGATCTGTCTTACCTGCAGATTTGCGCTTGGTGATTCTCCAACTGCTGTCGCAAACCACCTCGCCGAGAAGCATAACGCGCCCAAATCGACTACAAAAGAGCTAAGGCGCCTATTGCGCCCTTACACGTTCTTAGGACCGGAAGCCTTGCGCCTTCGCCCAGATGGATCTACTCCGCACCCGCATCTCCAGGTACAGCCCGGCATCGCCTGCAGGCACTGCTCTCTGAAAACCACCAGCCATGAAGTACTGAGTCGCCACTTGTCTAAGTACCATGGAGTAAAGCGAAAATCACCAACATGGCTCCACGACCACGTGGTCAGCGGTCTATCGCTGCAAAGCTGGGGATGGCACAGTGCTGCCGGATACTGGATCGTGAAGCCGGAGTCCTCGATCGCGCTGGCTCTTGACGACAGCTTGCTCCAAGACTCTGTGCCGCGGCTCTCTCGGTTAGAGGCATTACATCGCAAAGAGCGGGACCGTCTGTTGGCTCGCCACAAAGCATCTGCTACTGACAGTGGTAACGCTGACATAGCTCTTAATACGAACTGGATGCGGCGCACGGGATAGGCTAAAACGTTCGCCGATGCTGACCGATCATTTCTTGTGAAATTAGCACAGATGCCTTAGGTCGCGGATCATGGCCTGCTACTAGGCACCTCGAATGATGCCGATCTCTACAGCTGCAAGGCGGACGAGCAAAGGCTAGGGCTTATGATCGCTGCTCTAGGTCGTGTCTTTGACCAGTGTGCAGACACTGTTCGACATACGGACGTATCGATGCGATGCTGGCTACGCGGCCAGTTCGTCGATCGACCATACAAGGCTCTATTTGAGTTAGTTAGGCGTAAGAGTACTTCTCACGGCTATCAGAGGTTGATGAAAAGATGCATATGCTTTTGCTTCCGTCTGTGGAGGATGAGTGAGGAAGCAAGGCAACAACTAGCGAAGAGAACCCTAACAGAAAGCGAATGTCAAGCCCTCGCCCAAGTGCGGAATGATGATGCGTGGTCTTTGCACCCTGCAGAAGGGGCACACAAGATTGACGACCAGAGAATAACGGCGAGATATCCCTCAACAATGCAGGAAGTTGCAGAAGCCAGGCTTGCTAATCAGCCCATTCAATTCAATTTCGGTCCTAGTTGAATTGAGTTGTTTATGTAATCGCGAAAAGACAAGTTGAGTTTAGTTGAATTGAAGCAACTCTATGTTGGTTAACAACATATTGCCAAGATATATGGGCAGGGGTATGCGATGTAAGCCAGCCAATCACATTTCAGTAACTGGTCTTAGCGAAATGTGATTGACTACACGAGGTGCTCACCGAAAAGCTATCAGGAACTATACCTAATCTCTGCCAGTTTGCCAGACAGATAGACGCACCGATGACATCCGTCTTAAGCCTTCCCCGATTGGCCGCTGTTAGAAGACCGCTAAGGCTAAGGATGCGCTCTGGTTCATCACTCATCGGTGGAATAGATAGTAGGTCTAGCGCCATCTTCGCAAATCGAGGCCAAACGAGCCGTTTCTCCAACCAGTATGCTATGGGGGTGTTGCAAGCCTGGTCCTCAGGTGTAACACCTTGTGATATGTATGATTCGTAGTCGTCAGGCTGATCCGTGGCTGGGAAATATGGGCCCATGACAGAATTAATAAAATCGTCCAGATCCGATTTTA